TATCAGATTTGTTAAAACGGTTGCATTCACACTTGGCCACATAAATGTGTCTCCGCAAAACGGATATAAATCCAATCTTCAATTCCTGCGCTATATGCAAATATCATCAACGAAAGCATGAGACATGCACTGCTTTTTATTCATCATCAGCTAATTTCAAGATCAAAGACTGAAACAGGAGAGAGAGCAGCATCAGCACTGGAAAGATAACTTCATCTTACTACTTTTAATGAAGATTGTGTGTCGAATGCCTGCAACTTACTTTCATTTTCATTTGTGGCATTTTGCGCATTGGCTTGCCGAAAAGATACACAGTTAATCTGCAGCGATGCCATATAGCCTATAAGACTCTCACTACAGCTGTCAAAATGGCTGAAAAACTAAATTCAATTTTTTTTCTTAAATATTATCAATATTTGAATTATATTGGAATTTAAAAGGCATAATTTCAGTTAGGGGGGAAACAAAGATTTTGGCTTCTCTCCTGAGGCCACAAGAGGGCGCATCGAACAAAATATTATGCACGTTTCTTCAAAGCATAATAAAATAACACGACTATCTTTGAAAAAAGTGCATAATGTTTAAAATAATGTTTATAAACCATATATAATTGATAAAGTTGCTTAAACAATTAGAAACAAAACAGCATCATGCATGTATGTATAGTTTATTACAAAGGACCGAAAACCAATCACAAAAGTAGGCTACTTTCTTCATTTAAAAACATGAGATACAGTGGGATGGGGAAAACCGCCATAAAGTCTTGAGACATGTTTTGTACAAGTTGAACTTACATTAATTTTACATAGCTTTCTAAACATGCGGCTCTCTTGTGCGAGACGCGAGTGCAACAGTGATAGACGTCCCTCAAGAAAATGCGATAAATATGCATTCTGTGGTTTCAGTTTTGACGTAAACAACATCTTCCCCGCATTTCGTCGTCGCATTTCGTGCTCTACTGATAAGGCTGCTTGACACACACCTACAATTCGAATGCAACGTTTTTGCATTCGAATGTGGATTTTTATTGTAAATTTGAAGAATATTCGAAATTCAAATTTTTTTTGACAGCCCTAACTCTCACACGTATATTTTTTAACATTTTGGGAGGAGTAAAGTTTACATACAGTGGCATGCGAAAGCTTGGGAACCCCTTGCAGAATCTGTGAAAATGTGAATATTTTAACAAAATAAGAGGGATCATACAAAATGCATGTTATTTTTGATTTAGTACTGTCCCGAGTAAGATATTTTACATAAAAGATGTTTACATTTAGTCCACAAGAAAAAAAAATAGCTGAAATTATTAAAATAACCCCGTTCAAAAGTTTGGGAACCCTTGGTTCTTAATACTGAGTGTGTGGTTAGCTGGATGATCCACGCCTGTTTTTATGTTTTGTGATGGTTGTTCACGAGTCCCTTGTTTGTTCTGAGCAGTTCAACTGCCTGCTGTTCTTCAGAACCCCCCCCCCAGCTCCTGCACATTCTTTGGTTTTTCAGCATCTTTTGCATATTTGAACCGTTTCCAGCAGTGACTGTATGTGTTAAAAAAGGTTCAAACATTCACAGATGCTCCAGAAGGAAACACAATGCATTAAGAGCCAGGATGAAGATGTCCAAATTTTTCTTATTTTGTTGAAATATAATTTTTTTCCATTTAGTACTGCCCTTCGTAAGCAACAGAAGATACTTGCATGTTTCCCGGAAGTCAAAAATCCCCCCCCCTCCTCTATTCACATTTTCACAGATTCTGCAAGAGGTTCCCAAACTTTCGCATGCCACTGTATGTGGTTTTCAACAACCAGATGCATTTACACTTGTCCAGTTTCATCTGGAACGCATCTCAGACGTCCTTCTGAAATGGTTTGAGCGATCGGATTTAAATCCATCTCAAAAGCATTTCGGAGGTCATTTACACCTGGTCTTTTCAGGATCAGATAGCTATCAGACCAGAGAAAACGCATTAAGTGACCAGGTGTAAACAGGTTCATACAACGCCGAATGTACATTTCAGATTTTATTTAAGTAGTCTGCATTGACTTCCAAACTATCGGAACTTCATCTTCATTTTTGGCCATATAAATAACTCCGTTTGGGCCTCTGAGTGAAATTGAGGTGTTTCATCCCTGAGTCTGAGCTCCATATTTCATAATATGAGCCATAAAAGCCTGATGTATCAAATATGATACTCTGGTTTTTAAGGCAAGGAGCAAATCACTGAGACGTTCGACATACGGTTACTGTGTGTTAGTCCCACTTACACGAGACCGCTGAGCCGCAGTAACTCACTCGTTAGGAAGCTTGTCGACGTGCAGGGCGACGGAGCCCGCCTCATACCCCTGCTGGTTATTTTCAGGCATGTCCATGTAGCGTTCGGTGTAGCCCGTATCGTATGCCATCCACACCGTCACAGGAGCTCCTGCTATGGCCACCTGGAGCACAGAATTTGCTTAACACATGATGATAATAAAACTAAAGCTACCGATTTTAGTCGTTTGAAAATGTATGTTGTTTATATCCAAAATACAACGGTCACTTAAATTTTGGCAATTCCAAAATTATATAAAAGAAAAAACTTTGACTGTCATTACAATTTTAGCAAAGCAACAAACATCAGCAATTCAATATCTGAAAAGGTGCATTTGAGACACCACCTGCTGGTTAAAGTAGGTTTTATCAACATACATGGGTGGGGTTGAGGGATAGCACAGCAAAAACTGAAAACTGACAAGAATTTTTATTTCCGGGTGAATTATTTTAGATGACGCCATGACACTGGGGCAGCTGTAAATCTCACCTTGAAGATGTTTGGCCTGTGAATGAGGCCCATGAGAGACAGGAATCCACCATAAGACCAACCATGGATGGCAACTCGACTCATGTCTATGAACTTGTAATTCTCTGCTACATACTGAAGTCCCTCCACCTGATCTTCAATCTCCACCTGCCCCTGAGGTCGAGGAGGAAAGAACAGTAATATAAACAGAAGAGTATCGTACACCTCGTTTATAACCTTACTTAAGCCTGGTATGCTGCATTCAATGATC